CGGGGAGGCGGCCCGGCCGCGCGACGACCCGCCGGGGACCGACGACAGCAAGGCGGAGTGCGTGCGGGGGGCCCAGCTCTCACTGGGCCGAGTATGGGCAGGGCATGGGGAGCACGTGGGCAGGGCATGGGCAGCACATGGGATGGGGAGTCCTGGCGCTGACCCCTGGCCCTTTCTCGCCCAGGCCGTCGGGGAGCAAGGCCGGGCAGGTGTGGGCGCCCGAAGGATCCACCGCCTTCAAGTGCCTGATCTCGGCCCGGTTCTGCGCCGCGCTCCTGAGCAACGTCTCGGACTGCGACGAGACCTTCAACTACTGGGAGCCGGTGAGCGCCGCGCCCCCGTCCCCTGGCCGAGCGCGGACGCTCCCCGGTCACTCTCCTCCTCTGTTTGTCCCTGCCCTGCAGATGCACTACCTCGTCTACGGGAAAGGGTTCCAGACCTGGGAGTACTCGCCCGCCTACGCTGTCCGCTCCTACGCCTACCTTTGGCTTCACGCCTTGCCAGCGTTGTTCCACGCCAGAGTCCTGCAGACCAATAAGGTAAATCAAAGCCGCCCCTGTGGGAAGCCGCCGGGCCTGGCCTTTCATCTGCTATCGACCCCGAGGGCGTCAGGATCGTTAACAAGCCTCTGCGCGCGCGCGTGTGCCGGGGGGCGCAGGCGCTACGCTAGCCACGGGTTGCTCTAGTGCCTGCAGGCTAGGAGCTGGTTGACAAGGTGCCCCTTCGGATCAGCCAAGTTTGACATTATGGCTGTGGATTTCCAAGGAGTCAAAGGGATTTAGCCAGCAAAGCTTCCCTTCGCATTCATGGGAGATGTGTGGCTAATTTGACTCGCTGCTTGGAGAATCCCAGCCCAGACCGCTTTTCCATCCCAGCTCCCTACGATTAATGTTGTTAGTGGTTTCATTCTTAAACAAAGTATGTCAGTGCCGGCATGCTATGAGTCTCACGTGTCACGTCACGCACTGAAGACACGGGACGGTGTACGAGGAACATTGCAAACACGCTGTCTGCCAGACTCGACGTGTCCCCACTTCCACGCCAGACGCCAGGGGATACCTCGGATGGGTGGATCTGTGGGAAGGTTCCCCATTATAGACAGCCGATTTCAGGAAGAAGGGGTAACTTAATTCTGGTTCGCTTGAGTCAGCTCGTTATTTTGCCATAAAGACTTGCATCAAAGGGATGGATTCTGTACCTGTCAGATCAGGAGGAGCTTGCTATTGATCTCAGTAGGCACAAGGTCGAAAATTAAAAGTAAGGGCTTTGGTTCCTTGATTTAACCATCGTGGTTCTCACCAGGCTGGCATCGATCCATCTTGGTGGAGCCTTTCATTCCTGTGTGCACGGAGGTGCATTGGTTGCGTGTGCAAACCCCATTCTGACTCTGAGCATTTCTCCTAGGTTCTCATCTTCTATTTCCTGCGATGTCTCTTGGCCTTCGTGAGCTGCGTGTGTGAGCTCTATTTTTATAAGTGAGTAGAGGAAGCTGTTTGCTCTGTGAATAGCCGGGTGCAATGTAGACAGCACAGTGCAGCTGTTGCCACTGACACGGAGGGTCTAGCTCACATGGAAGTGCCTTGCTGCAATGTACTTCTTAACACGACAGTTGGTCAGAATACATATCTGAAAAGGGTCCTAGAAAAACACTGATTACAACCTCACCGGTGTGGGCCCGATTCTACCTGGAATCCACCGAGTACATCTTGACTCCGCTACTTGGCTCAGGCTACGTGCCCAGCTCTTCCAGAATTGCCAGTCCAAAACAGATCCAAGCTTTGCTGGTGCTGGACAGCGAGTGGCTGGTGCCGGTCATTTCAGCTAGGATACACTAGTGACTTCAACCCTCATCACCCCAAGCTCCCCCCTAGCTTGATTGACTGATTTCTGCTCTGCTGCACTTTCCAGTGGAGTTTGCAGCTCCCTCAAGCAGAGGCCTGGCTGTGCCAGTAGTTGGTGTAATTGTTGCTGGCTGCCTCTCTATTTGGAGCCATTGCTGTCCTGTTGCGCTTCTCCCCAGCAATGAGCATAGTGCTGATTTGCCTCCTGGGAAACAGGCTGCATCCTTCAGCATAGCGCTGCTGGCAGTTATCTGCCACAAGTGAGAGCCTGGTTTACTCTGGATGGTAGTCTTGAAAACTGCTAGTCCAGGAAGCCTTTACAGTGATGAAGCCCAGTCAGAGGAAGGTTACTGGGCTGGATGGATTGCAGGTTTGACCCTTCCTGGGATTAGCCGCAGAGTGATTTATCCTGGTAAAAACTGGGGGCTTGCACTGGTACTGTCAGGTTGCAGGTGTGAAATCCCATCATAGGCAAGGCCAGCTGTACTTTCTTCCACCCTCTGGTTGTCTCTGGGAAATGAGCGGTGGAGCCAGTCAGGTCACACTATGAAGCCCCATTCAGTCTTCATTTGCACAGAGCATTTGTTGTTCTGTTCACTGGCCATTTCCATGCCTGATTCTCTCTACTTCCCTAGGGCCGTCTGCAAGAAATTTGGGCTGCACGTGAGCCGGCTGATGCTGGCCTTCCTAGTTCTCAGCACTGGGATGTTCTGCTCTGCAGCGGGTAGGTTTGCTCAGAGGTGAGTTGTGGGGATGGGAGACAGACTGCAGCCTTCATTCTCAGGGCACTGCCCTGGCCTTTCTAGTCCCTAACTCTCACAGGATCTCAGATACTCTGGGAATATCCTTCCTTAAACAGTCATGATGCTTCCACCTGGTTCTACTGCAAAAGAAGGCCACACGCTGGCATTGTAATGTAGCAATGTTTCCTGTTCCCCCGCTGATCTCTGCTGCTTGGCTGCCAACCTGTACCCACCAGCCAGGACAGGTGTTGTGTGTGTGACAGGAGGTTTTGTGCAAAGACTGCAGGCATGTCATACTGTGGTTTCATGCGCTGGCATGGATGTGGCCTCCGCAGGAGAGGCGGTGTCACTGTTGGAGTGTGGCTGAGATCCCCTGCTCTACGCTGCCTATGTTTGTTTATAGCGAGGGAAAGGCAAGACCCCTCGCTGTCTCGGAGACACTAAAAGTCTCATTCCTTCCATATTTATGTTGCCATAATCCCTCTCTGGGTTTCTCAAGGGCAGTGCCTAGGCCGTTTCAATCCCTGTTTAGCTGGGGGCAGGTTCACATCATCCTTTCCATTCTGGAGGGGAGCAGGTGTGGTAAGATCAATAGAGATATTCTGGATTGGCCCCTAGTAAGGCAAGCTGGGGGTGGCGGGGACAGAGACCAGGAGGAAGCATCTCCAGGCTGGATCTTGGCAAGGTGAGGATGAGAATCCCTTTCTGTTGAAGTGAGGACGTCAGAAGGAAATCTTTGCTTCATTAAGACCAAAAGCCGTGTTGTGGTTGATGGCAATGGGGCCAGGATTTCAGTGCTGGTATTTCTAGCAAGACTTTACCTGTTATAGGTGTAGGTTGGCTTTTATGCAGTGCTTCACTGCCATGAATGTTTGGCTGACCCCTTCCTTCCTTTGCTTTGCAGCCTTCCTTCCCAGCAGCTTCTGCATGTACACCACGGTGATCGCCATGACTGGTTGGTATATGGACAAGACCTCCATCGCCGTGCTGGGGGTGGCAGCGGGAGCCATCATGGGCTGGCCCTTCAGTGCCGCTCTTGGGTAAGGAGAAGGGAGAGCCTTGGCTGCATGGATATTCTGTGCTGTTTCAGTGCTGGGCTCCCAGCTGCCAGGCCTCCCCCATGTGCACAGAAGAGCCTGTGGCACCACTAACAAAGCCTTGCTCTCTTGTGCTTCAAAGCCATAGCCACCCCACGTAGACTCCTCTTGGCATCTTTGCCATGCAGAGCAGTCATTGTGCCTGGCTGCTGCAGACTTGCTTTGCAGACACTAGGGGCTCACGGTTAACACCAAGGGGTCCTAGATTTGATCCCCTCTGCCAACAACCCACCCAGCCTGAGAGCTTTTATGGGGGTGGTGTTATTGCCTGACATGTTGCTGTCAGAGAGGCTTATATTCTGTAGGTCTTTTTGAATCCTAAGTGACCTGAGAAACATTCCTACACTGGGGACTGGGGCACTGACAGGCAGGCCTCCTCGCAGCAGCCTCTGTCCAGTGATAGGACCAGTCGCCGTGGAAGGCAGGCTTGCGTCTCCTGTTGATGAGACTCTGACACATGCTTTTTTTTGCCAGGCTGCCCATTGCTTTTGACTTGCTGATAATGAAGCAGAGGTGGAAGAGCTTCCTGAACTGGTGCCTGGTGTCACTGATCCTATTTTTGGTGAGTTCCCACAGCGAGGGCTAGCATGAAGAGCAGGGATGGGGCTAGGGCTGTGGCTGAGCTGCAGTGAGAGGACTTGCCCAGTAAGGGGCTTGTTAATGCAACTCATGCAGATCTTCTCACCCCATGCAGCCAAACCATCTCCTAGTGGGGCTTGGTCTTCTCATTCCCGCAGTTGATCTGTGCATTCATCCTCTGCCACAAGGCTCTGAGCGGCAGGGCTCTCTTTCTCCCTTGACATTTTTCTACTAAATGTCCAGCTCTTTCAAAGAGAGTAGAGCAACTGCAACCCACCAGGGACCTGGTGTCTCCCACAGCTCAAACTAGCGCAGCCCACAGCTGGGCACTGCTGCGGCATGTGCAGCCCTAACACTATTCATTGTCCTACAGCAGCTGGGGAGAGACTGGCAGGGGTGTGCACACCAGACCTCCTCTGTTCTCAATGTCACCGCCTCATCGCTGCACATAGGGCTAGTGATGATGTGGATTTTACGCTGATTCTAGCCCTTGGAGAAGGGCAGCACTGAGTATGGGCTGCCAGTGAGAGCCCAGCAGTTGTGAAGCATGGGGATAAAGTGGCTGTTTGTTTTCTGGCACAAGTAGAGGCATTTGGTGGCAACACTCTTCAGTGGGCAGCTTGCAGCGACTGGCCACTGCAGCTGACAGCCAACTGTGTGATGTGAATTCTGATTGCTTTGTTCCAGGTCCCCTTGGTGGTTGTGGACAGCTACTACTATGGGAAACTGGTTGTTGCGCCTCTTAACATTGTATTATACAATGTCTTTACGCCTCATGGACCCGACTTGTACGGTGAGTCAGTTGGGACAAAGAGCTGAGGGGATGTTACTGGCTTGCTTGATGCAGCTTGATGGGATAAACCCATGAGCTTGCAATCCCCAAGTGTTTTCCTGACCTGAATTTTCAAGCAGGGCCATTGCTTTTTCCCCCCATCTGCTGTGAGCTGATAAGCGAAGCAGTTCCAGGCTCACGCCACTGGATGTCTCTCTTGATTCAAGAATACACCCAGCAGGGTTATATTTCCTGTTTGTTTTGCTGAGTGCTTTAAGTTCAATTGCTTTTGATGAGTTCTTAGCTTTGAAGTTCAGTGCATCACGGAGACATCATGGGATGTCTCTGCAGCTCATCCTTCCCGGCAGAGATCTGCTCGCAGCAGACTTGTTTGGAATACAATGCAAATGCACCAGGCACAGACGGAATTCATTTCTACACGTTTCAGATTCTCCCTAGTACGCAGTTACAATTTCAGCTCATTTCCCCGGTGTTATTCAGAGAGGTTATTTGTAACAAAGCCCTGGGTGACTCATCTGTCTGAATAATGTTGGTTACACACTCAAACCAACTGCTACTTCAGTTGGAAATGCCAAAGAAAAAGCCAGTGCAGCTTGAGTGTGTTTGTCAGGTTTAATTCCGGTGTTGGCTGTTCCTGGCTTTTGTAGGCAGGGTGTGGGACCCTGGCACAACATGCAAAGGAGAGCACAGCCCTGAGCCCTTTCAGTCCACATCGGGGCTTCCCAGATTCACTGGTTCCGTGCTCTTGGGGATCTGCTTCCTTCCTTGACGGTGCCTGTCCTGAGCATTGCTGGCAGCAGTTTAAGAGGTTACTCTCTGGGAGCCTGGGGAAAGATGAAAGGTTAATGAATTCCACATGCTGCAGAGTGTTTTGAGCAGGCTTGCTGGGGCTGGGGCTTTGCTTTTTGTGGGGGTCTCTTGATCTCTGTTGTCTCTCCCCCCACCAAATTCACAAGTAGTTGGGAGATATTGGGGGGGAATTCTGAGAAATGCCAGACCAGGGTGGGGGGAGGAGCAATAGCACTTAGCCCCGTGTAGCTCTCTTGGTGGGTCACAGAAGACCTGCCCCGCACTTTTGAGGTAGATGTTGCAGCAATTGTTATCTTCACTTCCCAGATGAGGAACTGCAGCACAGGGTAGACAGAGTGACTTGCTAGAGGTCACCAGGGAAGTGAGTGGCGGAGGCAAGGTTAGGATTTCATGCAGTGTAAGTTGAAAGACGGTGGAAACTCCAAACTGATCTGAGGGGAATGTGCTTCTTCACACAGCCTGTAACTACACCATGGAACAACTGGCCACAGGGCGCTACTGAGCTCAGCTGGACCCAGGAAGGGACACGGATGTGGGTATCAAGTGTCTGGAGTTGTCAGAATTAATGGCAAAAACACTCAGAAGGGATGTTAAACCTCAGGCCTCAGGGTTTAAGCTGCTCTGTCTAGTGGAGACCAGGATGGCACCTAACTCACTGTTTGATTTTACCCCACAGCTGCCTGCCACTGGCTTTTTACCCCTTCCTGCAAAATGCTTGGTGCTGGCTGTGGCTGGAGACAGGATGCCAAGTTGGATTGATTTTAGGTCCAACCCAATCTAACAATTCCTGTGCTTCTAATCTGGGAGCTGGTTCCCTGTCCTGTGCTCAGACCCTTGGACTCCATCCCACCAGAAGAGAAAGGCATGGGGTTGGAGCAGGGTGTCTTTGTTATTAGGGATAGCTTATATCACTGAAGGAGCTGAAGAGTGTTAGCCTGTCTAGGGGAGCCCTTGCGGTGTCCCTTTGAGAGCTCCTTTTAACACAGATGCTGGTGCACTTCTGATTGCCCTGGGCTGGACTGCAGTAGTGATTAGTTGCGAGTGCCTTCTTGGCCTCTAGTTGTGCACCACAGGTCACATGGGCAGCACCTTTCACTGGGGCAAGGAGCATTTGGTTGGGCAGCCTAGTGACCCATCTCCTGTGTCTGTAGTGCAGGAGGGTGAGCTTTGTCCTTGCCAGGGACCTTGATCTCTGCAGGAAGCATTTGAATGAGTAGCAGTGAGTCCTCCATTATGGAAACTCCAGATGGATTTGGCAGGGGCTCCTCTGACTTTTCAGCACTAGTGCAGGAGCTGCTCCTGGTGACTTTGGGGGACCCATCCATTCTGAAGGGTTGTAGTCGCAATGACACTCGTCTGTGCTAATGCAGGAGCCACACTGAACAGCTGCTTCATGCAGTGCAGCCCAGGTGGAGAGCTGTACGTTAGGGATTTTTATCAGGGTTACTCTTACCCCTGCTTATGGAGAGGAGGCAGCTGGCAGAGCGACGGCTTTGAAGCAAAGGGGCTCCTTCCAGCTTCCATGGGAATGAGACACAAGTCTCAACAGCATTATGCCAGCCCAGGTTTCCCTTGCATACCTCCTGTTGCTATCAGAGCATGTCAGCAAGGCGGCTGGGCATGAGCTCAACTCACCTGAGCGAGAGGGCAGTGACATCTCCATTGCCTTCCCTTTCACCTGGCTCATGTTCTTTTCTGGTCTTCAGGCCATGCTCAGCTTTGTAGTGCCCCTGGTATCTCCTTTGCTTGCCAGCTGAGAGCAAGGACAGCCACTTCTACAATTATTTTTAGATCTAGCTTCTCCTGCAGTCTGTTGAATAACTGGCGGTTACCCGGTTCCTCTTTCCAAGGGCAAATCTCATGGGTGGAGATTTCAAACGCATATTCTTATGGCCCTGAGGGGGTTCCCCCCATCCCCTAAAAATGTAGGCAGCTGGGGATTTTCAGGGGAACTATTATCTGAGAGGTAAGGAGAGCGTTGAGAGCTGTTCCCACGCGGCCTGGACTGCTGTGCAGTCCTATTTGCTGTGACAGGAGCTCTGGCTGTGAGTGGTGATGTGGTGACCCTCCAGAAACTTTGTTTTGGGCTTGATCAGGTTCAAGTGATTTCACTGGAGTTGCACCTGAGTTTCACCGGAGTTGTACAGCGCCTAGTACAGTGGGATCCTAGTCCATCCCTGGGTCTCCTAAGTGCTGCTTTATACAGTGTCTGAGTCCAGCTTCCTTAGATTAAAAGTCATAACGGGCCCTGAAGGAGCTCCGAGGTAGATTTTGGTCCTGGGATGCCAGTCACTGCTGGTTCTCCCTCCATGTGGCCTGATACATCGGTGCTTGAGCCTCCCTCTATCACCGTTCGTAGCCAGAATACTGAACTCAATGCCCTGTTTTGTTTCTGTGCAATTTATTCCTTTGTCCCTGCTAACAAGTGACACGGTAGACGGGCATCTGCTTTGTGCTGCGGTGCAGGAGCCCCTCTCCACCCCAGTCGTCTCCTCTAAAGGACACCGTTGGGGGCAGGATTGCTCTGTGTGCATAGTGGGCTGTTTTCCCCCTCATTGCAGTCATGTCTCTGATCACCTTGAGCCGTTGCACACGATGAGCATAGAAGCACTTTGCCCTGGGAAGCCCCGAGACGGAGCATCTCTGAAGGGGTGAGTCACCACAGCGACCAAGCAGGGAACCTGTGTTTGTGACACAAAGCCATGCGTCAGTGGGTCACTTTGCTTGCCTGCATGACGCATGCTCCTCGTGAGAAGCCGCTTTCCTTGCTGAGCCGCAGCAGTAAATACGTCCTTGGACAAGAAGGACGGGTCCCAGCCCTTGGTGCGGAAGGGGCAGTGCTGTCATGCCTCGGCAAGTGCTGGAGCACTGGTCTCGGGCCACTCGTTGCCTGAGCCTGTCATGGGGTGGCTGGGTCTCAGAGAGCCTGGGATCAGCCGTGATCTGACTCTTTTCCTCCCAGGTCGTTTGACTGTACACTACATAATAGCCTTATAGAAAGGGGAAAGCAGGCTATACAAGGCAGATAGCCTCCTGTCCCCATCCCCTTCCCCCTCAACATACGGATTGGCCTTGGCACGGTTGCTTGAGGGCCAGTCACAGACGTGTCAGTGCGGCCCTTCCAGGCAAGGGCTCAGAGAGACTAAAAACCACCTGAAGTGCCTAAACTGTAGAGGGATGTCAGGGGAGAAGCCTATGAGACAGCATGCCAGGTGGAGTGGACCAGATGGGCAACCAGAACTGGAAGGAGAGGAAGGGTTCGTTAACATTTTGAATAAACAGACAATCGAGGGCACAGAGGTGAATTGACCACAGTACAAAACGCAATGCAAAGTCACCCAAGGTGGATTGTGTCCGGCATACCTGACATAGGGCAGTGCCAAGCCAAGCCAGAGGAAGGCTTCCCAAAGCCGTGGGCGGCTTGCTGCCTGGGTGATTTTGGGGTCTTTATCCCATCTCTGGGTAGACTGAGAATTGTGCTGGTCTAGGGCTCTGATGGGAGAGCATGCAGGTGGGGAGGGATTCAGGGTTAATTGCTGATCCCTCTCCCCTCCTGAAGAAGAAAAAATCCCCTTAATTGCATTTTGCTTCCAGCGCCACTGTGCTCCCAGACGGAGGCTTCCCAAATAAACTGAGGCGCTCGGGCCCTGCCACGGCAATGCCTCTGCGGTCTTGACATTACCAGTTCAGCTTCTAATCGCATTTAGTTGGTACAAGCTGCAGAGGTGTCGAGTTTTCCTCGCTGCTTTTCAGTTGTCTGATTAATTTCAACACGGACCCTTTTTAAGTGGTTCTGATTTCAGGAAATTGCTGCGGCATGTGACACATGTCACAACAGTGCAGTGATTAAAGCCCCCGCATGTCATTTGCCAACTGATTGAGCTAATCATACCGAGAAAGTGGCAAACGTGCAGAGAGGAGCTGGCGTTCCTCATTGTTCAGGATTTGCAGCCTCTCGAGTTAAGAGTCCAAATGAGTGACAGTCGGACTGGAACGTCTGTCAGTTTGCATCCTTCGAAGCTTGCAACCAACAGAGACACCTGAGTGTGTCACGCTCGAGGAGGAGGGGCTGGATTGATGCTGTTTAAAGCTAAGCTGTAGGAAGAAAATGGAACGACGCAGGGCAGTTTCAGAGCCTGCCAGTAATGAGCATGCATAGAACTAGCATCTGGATGAACTTTGCTGGAGGTGCCTCGGGTGAATGAAGTGTGAATGCAAGTACTTTCCCCTTGTTTGTTAGTAATAACATCTTCTGGCTCCGGCAGCGTGCGATACCGCATTGTTCCAGAACGGCAATCAGCTCGTAACATCCTGAGCTGCTGTCGTGCCTCTCAGTCACTCCCCTGCAGTAAGTGTGTGGGTGTAGAGGAGCAGAGCCTCTTGGCTTTGGCAGTGTCAGCCACGACTTTCAGCATCGGAAGATGGCTGTTCGGCATCTAGGCCACATATCTGCCTCCGGAGGGGCACCCGGAGAGCACCCTGTTGCAACTGAGAGCACCCTGTGATTTATGAACAGCAAGCAATAGGCATGGTGTTTGAGACTCATGGTTGGGGAGGGGAAGAGAAAAGGGAGTAGGCTGGGTGTGTTTTTGGTTAAAGTCAAGTAATCACCCAGGAGAAGCGACTTGCCTAGAAACCGCGATGTCGCACCCGGTGCTGCGGCCCCTTCCACGCACTCTTGGCCAGTCCTTGTGGCACCATCATCTTCATTTTGTAGAGGGAGAAGGAGAGGTGGGAGTGACTCGGGGGGTCACATGCCTTGCCAGTGGCCAGGCCAGGATTAGAAACCACAGGCTGACTCCACTGAGCTCCACACTCCTTCCCTCAGGCCGTACTGCTTTTCTGACCCTAAGCCCCTTCTTGCCCTGCGCTGCAGTCTGGGATTCACTGGGTTTGGGGAGAATTGATTTCTGAACCTAATGATCGCAGTCAGACAGAAAGCAAAGGAGCCGCCACAACATCTCGTTCTATTAGTCCTCTTGTACTAATTGCTTTCCTTCCCCTCAGGTACCGAGCCCTGGTCCTTCTATTTCGTTAACGGCTTTCTGAATTTCAACGTGGCATTTGTCTTGGCTCTGCTCGCCCTGCCGCTGACCTACCTCATGGAATGCCTCCTCCAGAAGTTCCACGGTGAGTGCTGGGAGCTGAGCAAGATCCCCCAGGCCTCCCTGGAGACTGAGGAGGGAGCTTGTTGCTCCAAATGCAGCCTTGCTTTATTGGCAGCAAACTCTGTTCAGTCACATGGCAGAGTTCCAGGAGCTCCTTCCCCAAAGCTCAGTACTGACCCCGCCATATGCTGCTTGGACTGGGAGGGAGGTAAAACACCCACACTTGCAGCACCATGTATGGAGGGGCAGAACTGCATTTAGTCTGTTTAGGGACGGTCCTTTTTACTCCTCCCTCCCTACTGAAGAACACAGCGTTGGGCAAAGCTGAAGTGCCCAAACCAATGATCCTCAACCAGGGTGTCACAGTACCCTGTTGTACCTCGAGAGCCTTTCAGAGGTGCCGCCGCGTGCTGCACACTGTTAGCACTGCTAGGTGTACAAACACAATTCACAAAATAAACCCAGCGATTTCAAATTGGAATCCATAGCATTAAAAACATCGGACCTATTGTGGCCTTTCTGAGTTCTTTGCAACAGAATAATTGCTCCGTTATTAATCTGTAGTCAAAAAAGGAGTGAAAACTAAGAGCTGGCATTTTCTGAGGGGGGGGCCTCAAGTCTAAAAAGTTTGAGAAACGCTGTCTTGAGCAAGTGCAGTGCACTGTATAGCGCACAGCCTTCAGCCAAACAGAGAAGTGGTGCACAAGTACCCCTGACTGAAGGCTGCTATTTCCCATCCAAGAGAAGATGGAGACGACTCCATGCGCTTTCCTCCTGCCCAGACATCTGAGTGAGGAGGAGCCCTTCTTTTGTGCTCTTCTGCTGTCGTGTTAAATGCAGCTGCCAGGATATTTTGGATTAGGGCTTTTGTGAGAACAGTTTGTTCTTCCTAGGGTCTGCTTGGGATTTGTCGAATCTTTCTTTGTAAGCCATTCTGCCCCACAAAGAGCCACGCATTTCCCTTGCGGTAGCTCATATGTCAAAGAACCAGCAAGATGCTGTTTGTACAGGGCCTTTGCCATTTAGCAGGACTGAGCACATGTAGGGCAGATTTGGGGAACACTTTTTCACACAGTGGGAAGCATCTCTCTACCTCCCTGCATCAATCTAGCACAGCAGCAATGAACCACTTAAATAAGAGTCTGAGGTTTCCATTGAGAGAGCCCAATATTTACCTCCTAATGAGGGTTACATTCTCAGACTTTCTGATTTAGAGAACAATACGAATAACCAGAACAATTGATTGCATCTCAGAATGGGGCTTGTCAAGTGTTGTCCCAGCTCCACTGTCATAAACTGGAAACTCTGTTTTTGGCAGATTGTGGATTCATAGGTGTCAAGGCTAGAAGCGATCCTTGAAATCAGCTAGTCTGACATCTGCCTTTCAAAGCAATCACTGTGGCCTTTAGAAATGACAGAGAGATAGCAGCATGTCCTCTAGGTCCCTGTGGGATTTCTCAATTCAAACCAATCGCATTTGGCAAAATAATCGTCCAAAATAAAACCGGGGGCTGGGGCAGGGGGAGAAGAGGTGACCTCAGATCTGGCTGCCACAAACACAGCCATCCCCCGAGTTTTTCATACGGATGGCACATGCTGCCTATTAGGGGCAGGCAGCAGGAGCCTGATTTGCTGCGGCACTTAGGGTCCTGCATATAGTCTTAATTATTTTTCTGTAACCTAAAACACTCGATGGAATCAGCCTCACCAAAAGCACATCGGAGAGGGTGTTGCCCGTCTCGACTGTGACTAACATGCTGTTGGGAACCAGTTACAGCCCAGTAGGAGATCCTGTAAATGCAGGTTGCCTGCTGCTCGCTTGCCGCTCATGTACTTAACAGCAGGGGCTGTGCTGCTGGGTGCTTTGTTCCCATTGTTTGTGAAATGCCTCTCCACTTCATTGCGTGACACTGCTTTTGGGGGTGATGGGGCCGCACCTCCTTCAGACTAATATTCCAGGGTAATTGCTGTTATTTTTGAATCATTTGCTTCCTGCTTTACTCAGAAGGTGCTTGAGAGATCTCTCACACACTGTTATTTTTGTAATGAAGCAATGAAGGTTTTGGAAATCCCAGTGCCTAAACAACTGCTTGCATTAGAAGTCTAAGGTCCACAGGAGCTGGATGTCTTAAGAGGGCCCAGCAGGTGTCTGGTGCTTTCAGTTCAATTACCTGCTCTGGAGTTTGAGTCCATAGGGGATACTGGCTTTTCTGGGCAGGATTACGCACGTGGCAGGTCCCTTCCTTTGGAAAGCCACCAAGGAAGCTTTTGCTCCTGACCGGTTTCTTTCCATGTTGGCTGGAGTGTGGGCATGTGTGCACATATTAGATGGAGCGGGGTGACTTAGGACTGAACAGTGAAGTGTTATGCATAAGGAATGGGTGGACAGACCAAGACAGAGGTCACTTCTCATTTTATACTACTCTCTGCCACGTCTTGATTGACTGATTTATGCTTCTTTCAGTTCAGAATTTGGGTCGCCCATACTGGCTGACGCTGGCTCCTATGTACCTCTGGATCATGATTTTCTTCAGTCAGCCGCACAAAGAGGAGCGGTTTCTCTTCCCCATATATCCCCTCATCTGTCTCTGCGGAGCTGTGGCTCTTTCTGCCCTTCAGGTGGGTTTCAGAGGGAAGTGCTGATTTTTTACAATCCAGTACCTATTTGGAGTTTAATTGCCAACTCGCTTCTGTCTCATTGCTCCCCAAAGCTTGGGAACATCTGCAGAACATCTGCTGCTACAACACAATCTGCAGAGCTCAGCAGTGCCCCACGTGCAGTTCTGAGAGCGTGTACAGTCAGCCGTTCTCGACCTGTTAGCTGGCAGGGTTTTTGATTTTGGGATGTCTCTCATGGATTCATAATGAGACCCCAGAACCGAAGAGCACAACAGTTCTCAAGTTAAATGAGTGTGTGTGTGGTGTGTGCTGCTGTCACAGAGCAGCTGCCTAAGTATGTTCCTCCAGTTCAGGTGGATGGAGACAGTGTCTGCAAAATCATGTAGACCCCCGTAAAACTATGATTTAGGAGGAAAACTACTAGGATTTCTCTCCCCAAATAGGTTCATAGACTAGATTCATAAATGTCATAAAGGCGTGAATGACTGTTAATACTGCAGCACTCTTGAGCTTGAGTGCAGACTTCTGAATAGCTCAGCCACAAAGGTCACATTTCACAGCTTCATAATGCAGTCACAGTAGGTGTTTCTCAGGGATTGCATCAAAGGAGGAAGGGCTTGGGAGATCTCTTTGGCCATGAGTTGTTCCATGGTGAGCCAGGGTTATTCTCCACCACACAAAATGGGATTTCCGGGGAAGGGCAATTGCAATGTCGCAGTATCAATGCAGAGAACATCCAAGAAAAGTCCCCTGGGTTGATATCAGTGATATCAGCTGGTACCACCACTCTGTGTCCAAGGCCTTCTGCTCAGTGGGCTGGAAGGAGCAGATTCCATGCCTTTCCCTGTACGTTGCTAGGAACGACACACATACTTAAAGTGGGAGAGAGATTGTTTATGAAGTGTTTTAATCTGCATTTATTAAACTCCTTTTTGGATTCTTTAAAAATAGCTGTTTCCCAATGCTGAGAGTAAACTGTTCCAAATCAGCTCAGGCTGCACAACGCTGAAGTTGTTCATCTCTTGCCTGCAGAAAAGATGCAGACACTAGTCCTGTCAGAGCGTCTCCCAGCTGCACCCCTCTGCTCTGCTATTACCCCTGCATCCTGGAACGTGCTACTGCTTGCTGTCCTGTGGCTCCCTCTCAGATCATCCCTGCAGCAGCCCCAGGCCCTTACCCAGCATTGCCAGTGCCCCTCAAGATGGGCTTGCCTTCCTTTCCGCCTCCAACCTGTGCAGAAGGACCATCCTTGTGCTGAATGTTTGCAGGCTCCGGTCCCACATCCTCCTTAGGCTTGTAGCCCTGTCTGAGAATCGCTGTGTGCAGCAGGAGAGGCTCCGCAGAGGGCAGTGGTTTGGGACACCTGCCAAACGTGGTTGCAGGAAACCCTAATGTGTATTTCTGTCCTGCATATTTTAACACCATGCATTTGGTTTGCCCAGTATGTAAGATCCAGCTGAGGATTTAATCTTCCCCACTCACTATGCAAGCTTGGGAGGAAAGGGGCTCCCAGCCCCTCCCTCAGGCCAGTTCCCCCATGGGAAGACGGCTGTTAGGAGATAAAAGCAAAGGAGGCAAGAGGAGCAGAGACTGTGTTAGGCCAGGAAGTGCATAATGCCTCCTACAAGGGGAGAAGGGGAGGTGTGGGGGCTGAGTATGCTTCACTGCTGTTTCTGCTGGATGTGCCCCCGGGCCATGTTAGAGTATCAGGACCCTTTATATATTTCTTGAAAGGATTTTTTTTAAAGAAGCTCGAGGCTGGGCTGCATGTAAAGAGGGCTGCACATGTGTTGGTTCTTCATGTCCCTGCATTCTGTTTCAAAGAACACGACTTCTGTTTGGGGAAGGTGACCAAGAGTTGTGCAGTGGTGACCTTTTAATGGTGGAACAAGTCTAGCTAGAGAAAGGGAAGAGAGTGCCCGCATTAGTCTGTGGGGAGTCCTTGTGGTGGGTCCTTCCAGGGATCAGTATAAGCAGCATCTGTTGGGAATAGCAGGGCCAGAGGGCTGGTTTGGAGGGTGCTATCAGGGCTGAGGAGAAGGAGGTTTGGACAGCTCTTTAAATAACCTAGACCTGCAAGAGGGAAATGCAGTCAAATGGCATGAGTCTCTGTGATTCCTGCAGGAGCTGAGCTGGGAAAGCTGAGCTAATGGCACTCATCTCTTCTTCCTCCTCAGAAATGTTACCACTTCATATTCCAGCGTTACCGCCTGGAGCACTACACGGTTTCCTCCAACTGGCTGGCCTTGGGGACGGTCTTCCTCTTTGGACTCTTGTCGCTGTCACGTTCGGTGGCCTTATTCAAAGGTTGGTGCAGTAGGATTGCCCTGGTCTTGTACCCGGAGTGGTTCCTGACCTGGGAATGACAGGGGCTGGAGTGGGCATGAAAGTGGTGTTGCTTTAACTCAACCAGTCTCATGAAACCAGTGCACCAGTTTCCCTCTTGTACAGGCACTGGTGTAAGCAATACTGGGAGAACACAGTTTTGTTCCGGCACAACTTGTCTCCCCACTAGGGAACGTGCCAGGATAACTTTATCTGTCACAGAGCAATACCCACTGCCCAACACAGTGAATCACAGAGTTAGAAGGGACCTCGAGGGACGTGTCTTCCAACCCTGCACATACAACATCCATTGGGCTTACACGTGTACTTAGCTTTAGGTCCTACTCAAGAAAACATTGAATCCATCCCCAGTAAAGGGACCCATACCTCAGTACAAGCTTCACATGCGTGGGTATGTGTTCAGGTGCTTGAACCAGGGCTGTAAGTAATCATACTGACTTGGATGGGCCAGTCACCTGGGTCAAGTTAACACAGACATCAGATTCAGGCCATCTGCAGTAAGGGCAGGAGAAGAGTGATAAAGGTGCCAGCTGACAGCATGATAAAGGAATGGAATTTGAAATCCAAGGACATTTCATTTAGTCCAGAGGCCTTCAGGTAAAGCCCTGAAAGTGCTTGGGGCTGTGCACATCTGTTTACTTCTACCTTTCTTCGTATTTATTTTCTTTACTACGGGTGCCCACATAACGTTCCAGTTACGGTCAACCAGGAGTCGCTGTGAGGTTCAGTAGGACGCGTTTGCTGTGAGCAACATGAACTGCTTGTTATTTTAGCAAAGCCCTTGTGGTAACTCCCCCTGCTGTAAGCTTAGCTAAGCCAAAGCTAAATAGAAATCAGTGGGATGGGCAATGTCAGTGGCAGTTAAGTGGCAAGGGCTGGAGTGCTTGTGATTTTGGGAGCATTTGGGGAAAATCCAGGTGATGTTGAAGGAGGCCCTGCTTTGATGTCTCACATGGGTTGGAGTTAGTGTTAACGGTGCCTGCTACCAAGTGGTGGTACCGTTTTGCCAGCTGCTCCACGAGCTGAGGGTCGGGACCCCAAATAATCACAGAGGTCTGTCTGGACACTAGGCTACAAGCAAGCCATGAAAGTACTGCCCACCTCTTGAGTCTTACTGACAGCTTTCCTCCTCTGTAGGCTACCATGGGCCTCTGGACCTGTATCCGGAGTTTCACCGAATTGCCACTGACCCGACCATTCACACAGTGCCAGAGGGGAGGCCGATTCATGTCTGCGTGGGCAAGGAGTGGTACCGATTTCCCAGCAGCTTTCTCCTGCCAGACAAGTGAGTTGCTCTTCCCCACGCAGGACCTAATTAATGAGGTGCTGATGCACGAGTGCATCTTGTAAAATTTCCAAGAGTGACTTCCGAGTATGTTCTCCTGCGTTCCAGTAGGTTCACGGGGCCCTAGACATTTGTCTTGGCGAACAAAGGGCTACATTATATTGTCCGGAAACCCCTGTGAATTTGGGGATCTCCATTTATGTGCATGCCTTCCTGCTTTTCTCTTGAGAGTAGATTGCTGCTAAATTGTGCTTTTTTGTTTTCTCAGTCCCACCCGCTGGTGGCTCCTACAGTTTCATTCCAGATTTCCCCCCTCCTCTTTCCTGCAGTTGGCAGCTCCAGTTCATCCCATCAGAGTTCAGGGGCCAGTTACCAAAACCATTTGCCAAGGGACCAGTGGCCACACGGATCATTCCCACAGACATGAACGACCAAAACAGAGAAGAGCCATCCAGATACGTAAGGACTGTTTGAGCTTTCTTTTCCTTTCCTTATCATCACCTTTATTTATTAGGGTCACTGCAGCACTGAGGGCCCCTCGCTGGGGACCTGGATCCAGTGTGTCTGGTGCTGCACAAAGAGAGAACCAAAAAGGCTTACAGTGGCATTTGGCTGCATCCCGAGGCAGGATCAGGTTGTGTGGGTGCCCAAATCCTGGCTGCATTTCATCTCTCTTATTTGAAGCGATTTAAAAAAACAAAACAAACAAACAAAAAAAACCTGGTAGTTTTAGTTTCTGAATCAATGTGCTGTTGTTTTCTGTGATCCCAGGGAACTGAGCTGAGCTAACTCAAGTCATTTGAAATCCCCCACACAAAATGTTCACTGAGGAGTACGGAGAATTTGCCTTTGCACATTCCTTTCTTTTAAAAGCAAGTAAATAACAATGTCTAAGGTGTTTGTCACAGAGCTAACAGGAGCTTTACCTGAAGCCATTTGAGACACAGACACCATTCATTTCGAAGGGAATTTGTTGAGATAACATGTATCAATGTGGTACGTTTGTTTCTTTTCCAGGTTGTCTGGTGTTACCGCACCAAAAATACCACTTTTTCCCTTTGCCAGCTTGCCTGCTGTAGAATTATTTAGCAGATTAAATGTCAGAGTTGGGAAGCAGTTTTCTGCAAGCCCTCTCCCTCCCCCTCCTTTTTTCTTCTACAAGGACTCTTTGGATTCACAGCTTAGACCACTGAATTCACGCGGAAACATGCTCTAGTCAGATCTCGCGTAGGATTCTGTATTGCTGCTTGGGCCATAGTGTGCACACTTTATTTGTCGTGTTAGCTGGAGAGCTTTTAGTTGGTGTGTTTGCAAGGATCTGGCTTTAGCAAACAGACATATGGTACTACTCCCTTGAGGGGGATCTGGGAGAGGAGTCCTGCTGCTGGCATTGACCAGAATACCTGAGCAGGCCCCGGAGCGGAGGCTACAACCCAGGCTGCGGTTTGGAAGTGGCTGTGCTGAACTCAATCCCGTTAGCGTGTGTTAGGCATGCTCCGAGCAAACCAGGCCTTTCGGAGAGCTGCCTAGCACGTGAATCCTCAGTGCCCTGGGACCCGAGGCCGGCACCGAGATGTTCACCTTAGCCAAGCTGGCGGCAGATCTCACCTGCAGCATGGGAACTCGAGGCACCCAGGTCAGTTTTCTGGTGACTCTTTCACCCTCCCCTCCAGCCGGTCCAACCCCAGCGGGGCTAGAGTTCTTGTAGCTGATTGATTCAGATTGAAATTCAGCATAATCCTTTTTTTTTGGACCTGGCTGTAAGTGACTTGCTCTGTGGCATCAGTAGAATTGAACCCGAGTGCTGGGCTGTGGTTGTAAACCATTGGCCCTTCCTCTCTCTGTCATCTGAGCAGGTGACTAAGACGAACAGCTGCACACTAGCCAGTGCCTTTCTTCCTCTTCTGCCAGCCCCTTGAAGGGTCTCTGCGGTATGTAGGAGGCACTCTTGACACCACACACCAGATCCTTAGCTGTTGTAAAGCAGCATGGCTCATGGAAACCAATGGACAGAGGCCCACTTTCACCCTCCCGAGGCCCCTGCCTTGGCAAGACACCCTTGGCAGTGTATTTATTGTTGGGTGTTGGAGACTCGGGCTCTCTGCTAGCACAGGAAGAAACCGAGTGGGGACCAACCAAGGCAGGGGCTTTTCTGTAGGACCAGGGGACAGCTATTTCGAGCCCCATTACGCAGCTCTGGGACATGGGCAGGAGGTGGATTCCCACCTGAGAGGAGCCGTCTTCCGCAGTGCATGTCATTTAGGAAAGCTTTAACGGTGGCATATTTTTAGCGCAGACAGCTGGCTGGGGCACAGCCTGTGACTAATGAAACCAGGCACAGTTTTGTTTCATGGTTGTCTCTTAATGTCACCCTACAATTTTGTTATTTCTTCTGCAAGCCAGAGGGACCAGGACAGATTTAGTCCCTGCAGTCAGTTTGAGAAATACAGGAATTAGCGACTTGATGTAAATTTTAAGTGGGGTTTTCTTAAGTACCCCTTGATTCGGAGCTGCTAATAATACCAGGAGAACAGTGCCTCCTGCAGAGCAAAATGAGCTGCAAGGCATTGGAACCTACCCTGTTCCAGAGGCTGCCAGCAAGTGCTGGAAGGAGCAGCCAGGACCTTGCAGAGGAAGTAAAGCGAAACGGTGTGAGCCTGTTGCTAATTTAAAGGCGAGAGGTCACATGCGGCAATGGGACTCTGAGCCGCAGGCAGCTCTGCTGAAGCTGGCTGTAAACTGCTTGGGAAGCACTGAATAAATCTCACGGATCCAGTTGTTGTGGGACGCTGGGAAAAATCAGGATTTAGCCATCCTGTTTTGCAAACAATCCTGGCACTAAGGGTTTAATTCTGCATCTGTTACTCACGCTAAGGAACACTTAACTCAGACCCATTGTTCCATTGGATCCGGTGTCCCTCTCGCAGACAGGGCGATGTTGGAGAGGAAAGGTACTGTCCCTTACAAGGTTCAACAGGTACCACACACTGGGTCTAACAGCATGAAACTTTGCTTGAAGTCCCCGACTTTGGAGAAGATTGATTTTGGTTTGCATTGTTGTTCCTCCTCCTTTCCCAGGCTCCTCCCTGGCCACGTCCCAAAGCAGATCAGTGATCCGCAGGCTCTGCTAGCTTGAGAGAACATCTCAGAAACGAGGGGTGTTTGGACAGGGTCTCTGCAAGACGTGCTTTAACTGGGCTCTGACGGAGCAAGTGGGCAAGATGCCGTGCTGCACAGCATGGGCAGACCGCTGGCCCCCATTTCTGTCCAGTTGCCAGCACAGAGCAGAGCCATTACAGCCCTGAGCGGTGGGCTGTACCCGGCATTCTGCCCATTGAGCGCACACTGCTCCACAGGATGTGGTCAGGCGCCTTCTCCGGTACCACGTCACACAGCAGCTGCACCAGGGCGAGAAAGGCTGCAGGAGGGGCTTGTGCATTTGGGACTGCACCCTGCTCTGGGCACTTTGGTGAAACCTTTCCCTGCACCCAGGGCTGCTTCAGGGCCCACACACAACTTACAGCCTCCAGAAACCCTAAAACAGGATGCCAAGCCCTATGCTGGCCCCACCCCAGGGTGAGTGTCACCCTTCACTGCAGCTTCACTTTAGGAATGGGAGAATGTATTGTATGGCAGAGAAATCTTTGTACTGGAAGCTTCAGTCCTATCAAGGAGGCACTGAGGACAGAAGGGGCTGTTGGATCTTGGGAGCTAGCACAGGAGCTCGCAGAGGCTCTGAGAAAGCGCATGATTTACAGACCAGATATCCCGAAAATGCACAACTCTCCCGTGGCTTTTCTTTCTGCCACGTTCTGCTCAGCTGAGCTCACGGCCATAACCTTTCACCCACTGCTCCAGTGCAACACCGAGGAGCCATCTGGGCTCCTCTTCACCAAAGTGTTTTCAGCAGTTTCTAGCAGAGCCCGACGTAGATGTGGAGAGTGACTCTGAACACATTGAGGGACGTTTGCAACACACAATAGCGACACAGCGCTCTACTGCAGGGAGCCTGGGGGGAAGCAGCTTGTGGAGTAATGCTGAGAGAGGGGTCCCTGTTTGCCAGGGTTTCTGCTGCCTGCAATGAAGCGTATGCAGGAAGGAGCGGCTCTTGCGCACAGTGTGCACAGGATCTCAGCTTTGACTGGGTGAACAAAGCAGCTTGCAGCACTTCCACTTCATCATGAAGCCCCCGTGATGGAACAGTCTTCTGGCTCAGACAGCGCTTGCTCCTTTCTCTTTAGTCTGATATAACTTAGCCCTTTGGTGTTTTCCTGAGCTGGACAGACTCCTGCCTGCGTATTTGGGGTTGTTTGGGAGCCCCCCTGCTGCCTGTTTCATTCTGCTTTTAATTGGAGAAGTTGTCACTAGAGGGGTGTTATCCCTTTGTGGTGCTGCTGGACCTCCGTCTGTGTGGTGCTGGGTGCAGCGATGCTGAGGGGACACAGAACCACCCAGCCTTTGTGCTGCCGCTTCCTTCTTCCCAGTGAGGCCTATCTCAGCAAGGCGCTTAGCTTTGTAAGTCCCACCGAGGTGGCTGAGATGGGGCATCTGGTGGGCTAGCCTAAGCATTGGTCAGGGATGGTTTAGAAGTGGCACTCCTGCGGGGCTGGACCAGGTGACTCTCAAGGTCCCTTCCCACCGACGATCCTTTGGTCGTCCTCCCCCTGCTTCCCTGGTTCTTTGCCGCAGGGTCTTCCTCAAAACCTCCCTCTAAGTCACCTCCTCCATTGATGGGGTTTTTGATCTTCCTTCTCCATCCCACCCCCAGCCTTGGCAGCTCAGATTGTGCTGCATCCACCTCCTCCAGTCACCATGCCCAGGACCCCGTGGGCATCTCTGGCTAAGGAGCCTGATCACAAATCCCATAGCTCATGCTAAGGGAAGCAGCTGCAGGATGGAGATGAGGTTACGGGGTGGAATCTGGGCAGGGGCGGTGGAGGATGAACAGGAGCCTGCTGCCCTCCGTCGAGGAACATTTCCTGCCGTTGCCAGCATCACAGCTGTGACCATGGTGCCCCAGTGCCATTCTGCCCTTGCTGATCATTCAGAACGGTGATTCACTTTGGGCAAAGGCCTGTGACACATTGTACAAGAAGACAAATGCTGGAAGGCATTTCACCCAGCCCAAATCCACCTCTCTGCCGTGGAGTCTCCATGGCACTTTCTCCCCCCAAGAACGTTATCTCTGTCTTGATGGCAGGTGTCTTTAGCGGTGGTGTAGGGTCAGGGAAGAGAGAGAGAGACTGCTTCATTCTCCCGTGTGTCTAGCTGGGCGAGTCCAAGCACAGGCCCTGATGGCAGCAAGGTCTTCAGGAGGAGTCAGCTGCTCCTCATTTTCATTGCTGTTTGCTGATCTAATCATGCCCAGATTAACTGGAGCGAGGGAGCCGCACTCCGATATTTCCCCCGTCAGTGTTTGGATGGGTGACGGCAGCAAAGTGCAATGGAGTCAGCGCTGTTGTAGGCTGGAACTTCTTGGGGCCTTTTCCCTGAATATCTTTGCGTGTCTTTCCCCTCTGTGGTCACACCCCAGCCTGGGAGCAGGACCCAGGTATCTGGGCACTGTAGCACGGTGATGTATTGATCAGAGCAGCGTTCTGCCTGCGTTGAGAATGGCCTTTGAATATTTTTAATCTAAGTACGTGTTATTAGTGCCCTCCTATCTTTGCAGGGGATGTGCAGCCACTGTTGCAGGTTGTTACCCTCTCCGTAGCATAAAGGATCTTGAAACACTTTGTGAAGCTGAATTAAAATCTAGCAGCACTTTAGGGAGAGGGGGCAGTTGCTATACCCTTTGACAGATGAGCAAACTGGAGCATGCAGAGGCATGACATCCTAAGGTCACACAGAGCCTGGCACAGACTCCAGCAGTTCCTTTTTTCAAAAAGCGCCCACGGTCCCGTTCTCACGGGTGCCTTCAACAGTTGAGAACCTGTGTCCCTCTCAGTGATATGCTATCCGCCGCTGCCAGCCCAGCTCGGTCCGTCTGGAGTGCAATGAGCTGTGAGCCCCGTGCCAGGAAAAGCCCCTCTAACATAGACACAGTCACAGCAGCAGAACGGTGCTGTTGCTAACGCAGGTCGCTGGGCTTTGGCAGGAAGGAAGTGACCCTGCTCGCAGGAGTGTGTGAATGAGGCTCTGGAGTGCGTCTGGGCTTTCAAAAATGTGACTTATGCTCCTAAATCACTTGGTCCCTTTTGAAATTTCCTGCCACATCCTAGTCACTCCTAGAGCCACATCCCACCAGTCCTGACTCCTGGTCACCTGCCTCCACCACCAGATTGTTGTCCCGTTAGATTGTGCTTTCTGCAGGGCGTATCCCATCCCTCGCCTACTCTGTTATGCTTATTCCTCAAAGGAAGCTCGTCACAATAGGAGCTAAAGACCTCTCGGTAGCCGGCCGTTTCTGTTTGCCTTGGCCGTGCCTTTTCTGCCCACGGCAGCTAGCATGGTCCTGTAGCAGTGTCCAGCAAGGGAGGCTGTGGCAGCAGCGTGCCAGCTAATAGCACAAGCCACCGATCTCCTAGCAGGAAGGGGGACATTGCATAACCAGAGTCTCCTGAGGACACTGCCCGGGAGGTCACACACGTAGCTCCCTTGGGTTGTGCTGCTTCCTCGAATACGTTTTCATAACTCAGCCGTGTGTTGCCAAACATGTGTCAGGGCACAGCAGCTGCCTGCGTCACTGACAGCTGATAAAGGCCTGCCTGCAGAGATGCCGTGGCCCTGGAAGTGCGGTGGGATCTCTGCAGAAGTGATAAGGGGATGAGAGTCAGCAGTGCCGCAGGGCGGCAGTATTCAGGCATGACCCCCTGTCATTTCAGGCTCCCAGGTATCTTGCCAGAGGCTATACTTATTGCTCCTGTAAATCCAGTTCAGCACTGGCAGTCTGCAGCTAAACATGCCAGTGGATTAGCACAGGTGTCATGTGATTCGAGGCTGGCGATGGGTTAGGGAGAACATGTAATCAATTGGGAGACAAAGCCTGGATGTATAAAAACTAGACGGGCCTCTATGGGAGAGCCGACTAGGAGTGGTACCCTGATGCACTGTGCCAGCAAGGAGCATTAAAACTGCATGAGAATAGCTTAACATCCCTGAGAGTTGGTAAGGGGTTGCCTCCTTTGTATCTGTCGTCCAGGTTCTGAGCCTTCAGGCTTCTTTGGAGCCAGGTTCCCACGCTGAGACTCTCGCAGCCTCCTGACTCCAGGAGCTGGCGCTTTAAGAAATATCCAAAATATTCGTAGACTTCCTGTATAATTGCAATAATCGGTTAGACTCTGCCCCCTGAGACTTGGAGCCAGGGAAGGGCAGTGAAGGAAGCTGACTAGGAACAAACAAGATCTGGTGTCAGGAACTGCAAACCTGTTAAAGCTGGGCAATCCAACACCCCCCAAAGTCAGGAGATTCCTGACAGCAAGTGCTAATGAGCCCACGTACCATGTCCTCAAGTCAATAATGCTGCATTGACTTTTGCAGTTGCTGAGTAGTGTTAGCCGGACAGCACAGGTGAGCAAATTTGGAGTGGCTGCTTTAACTTTGGAAATGTTTTTGTCTTCAAATTGAAGAGAAAGAATGGCCAGAGAGGATGGAGGGGTGGGTTAGAGCACTCTGCAGTAAGGAATTTGGACTTGACGTCAGCCCACCAAGCATTTCCTGTCCTTGGAGGACAGATTGGAGGCCCCTGCCCTGCTTGCAGGCTGCTAGGAACGGCAGGAAAAAGTGGCTAAGGCG